AAATAGACTAAAAACAGAAAAAATTTAATGAAATAAAAAGCTGATTTTTAGAAAAAAATCAGTAAAATTTAGAAACTTCTAGAAAGACCAACAAACATAATAAACACAAGAGACATAATCACCAACATCAGAAGTAAAACAAGATATTACCACAAATCCTGCTACCATTAGAAAGAGAATAAGAAAATAATAGGAACAACTTTATACTCAGGATAACCTAGAAAAAATAATTACCTTGAAATCGCAAACTATCAAAACTCAATCAAGACAAAATAGCCAACTTGAATAATCTTATAACCATTAAAAAACAGAATTAGTAATTTAAAAGCAGAAAAAGAAAATTATAGGCCCACATGATTTCACTAGAAAATCCCATGAAATGAAAACCCTGAACAAAATATTAGCAAATCAAATTCAGCAATGTTTAAGAAGAATTTTATGTTATTACTAACTGCCATTCACTCCAGGTATGCAAGGCTGGTTCAACATTTGAAATTCAAACAATGCAATGCAGCATAATCAACAGGCTAGAGAAGTAAAATCATGATAGTGACAACATATGAATATAAAGTATTTGACAAAATCCAATACCCATTCATGATAGAAACCTTTAGCAAACTAATAGAATAAAACTTCCTCACTGATAATAGTCATCTACCAAAGCTTACAGCTAACACCATTTTTATTTGCACAGGGCTATAAATTCTAGATACTGCTGAAAGGCAAGAAAAACAAATAAGAGGTACACAGACTAAACAGTAAGAAATAAAACTATCCCTATTTTCAGATGACATGATTATGTATATAGGAAATCCCAGGGAAACTACAAATAAGGAAATAAAACACCTCAGAAGAAATATGAGAATTGTCCGGAAAGTATCCAACCACATAATGTGAACGATGCAAACATATATGGCCGGATACTTTCAAGACAGAACACATATATTCAACAAGATCACAAGATACAAAATCAACCCACAAAATCCAATCACATTTGAATTTACTAAAAATAAATATATAGAAATCAAAATTTACAACACTGAACCATTTATAATTGCTTCCAAAAATGAAATACTTAGGTAGAAGTCCAATACAACATGTACTATATCTGTATCCTGAAATCTTCAAAATACTGATAAAATAAATCAAAGACCTAAATGGATAAAGAGACATACCATGTTCATGGACTGGAAAACTCAACATGGTAAAAGATGTCAGTTCTGCCCTAATTGGTTCTATAGGTTCAATGTATAGAAACATAAACCACCTTACTTCTAAAATTTATGGAGAAAAGCACGGGACCTAGAATACTTAAAACAACTCTGAAAAATAAGGATGAAGTGGAATAAAACACTTTATCAGATGTTAAGGCTTTTTAAGGAACTATAGGGGTCAGCATGATATTGCTGGAGAGATAGAAACCAAAAAAATCAATGGGAACAGCAAGAAGACTCAGAAAGACACTCAAACTAACATACACAAATGGTATTTCACAAAGGTACAAAAGCAATTAACTGGAGGAATGACAGACTTCAATAAATGGTGCTGGAGCAACTGGACATCTATAGACAAAAAAAAAAAAAAAGAACCTTGACCTACACCTGATGTATCATTTTAAACACTAACTCAAAATGGATCATGGAATTAAATGTAAAACTATAAAACTTTTAGAAAACAAAAGTGAAAATCTTAGGATCTAGGTGTAGGTAAAGAGTTTAAACTTGACACCAGAAGATAATCCATAAAAAAATAAATTTGACATTACCAAAATTCAAAATGTATCTAGCATATATTTAAAAACCTGCAAAAAACTTGACAATAACAAAGGAACAGGCGACCTAAAAGATGAGCAAAAAGACATGAACAGATACTTCACTGAAGAGAATATAAGGAAGACAAATACATGAAAAGATGTTCACCACTATTAGGCAAATGCAAATTAAAACCACAATGAGGTATCACTACACAACTATAACAATGTGTAAAACAAAATTTTATATATATATATACATATATATATACACACATATATATACACACACTGAAAATGCCAAATGCTGTTCAGTATACAGGGAAACTGCATCATTCCATCTCTGCTAAAAGAAATTTTAAATTGTGGGGCAGCGCCTGTGGCTCAAAGGAGTAGGGCGCCGGCCCCATATGCGGGCAGTGGGAGGTGGCAGGTTCAAAAACCCAGCCCTGACCAAAGACTGCAAAAAAAAAAATTTAAAATTGTATAGCCATTCTGGAAAAAGAGTATGTCATTTTATTTCAAAAATAAACATGCACTTACCACATGCAACCCAGCAAATGCACTCCTGGACGTTTATCCCAGGGAAAAATGAAAACTTAAGTTCACATACAAACCTATGCACAAATGCTTATAGTAGTTTTATTCATAATGGCCCCAAACTAAAAATAATCCAGTATCCTTATTATCCTTCAATGGGTAAATGGTTGAACAAACTGTGGTACAAGGAATGAATAATTGATATATGCAACAACATAAATGGAACTCAAGTAAATTATTCTAAGTAAAAAGATTTCAAAAAGAAAATCTTCAAAGATCATATACTACATTCCATTTATCGTACATTCTCCAAATGACTAAATTACAAAGATGGAGAAAACAACTAGGGATGGTTAGGGATTCGGAACTTGGAGAGGGGAGTGGTGTCTCTGACCGTAACAGGAGAGTGAAGGAATCCTGTATCTTGGCTATGGTACTGGTCAGACAATCTTCATGTGATAAAACTACATATAACTAAATAAGGATGGGCACCCACACATAGGAGTTGAAATCTGAACAAGGTTGATGGATCACATCTATGTCAATTTGTGATACTGTACAACAGTTATGTAAGATGTTACCATTTGAGGAAATAAAGAATGTATAGGATCTGCACTGTTTCTTCTAGCCACATTTAAATATATAATTATCTCAAACCAAAAATTAAAACAAAGGAATGATCCAGTATGTCTTAAGAGTTATGATTTGGCTCAGCACCTATACCTCAAGCAGCTAGGGTGCCAGCCACATACACGGGAGCTGGCAGGTTCGAATCCAGCCTGGGCCTGCCAAACAATGACAACTACAACCAAAAAATAGCTGGACATTGTGGTGGGCACCTGCAGTCCCAGCTACTTGGGAGGCTGAGGCAAGAGAATCACTTGGGCCCAAGATGAGTTTGCTGTGAGCTGTGATGCCACAGCACTCTACCCAGGGCAACAGCGTGAGACTCTTTCTCAAAAAAAAAAAAAAAAAGAGCTACAATCACACTCAAAACTTGACTGGCAATTTTATTTCAGAAATCAATAATCACTTATCTACTTAACATCTCTGTGAGGCACTGTGGAAGATGACAGAGATTCAGTGATGAAAAAACAGGCATAGATCCTGTCTTCATAAACTTTCAGACCAAGTAGTATGAAAATAGCTCAATTTATGAAAAAGGTTATTATATCTTCAGTTATATGGATGAGAACTGAAATCAAATTTCTAACAATAAGAGAAAAGGTTAAGTAGTTTTTAAAATACTATATGCCCATTAAAATGATGTGTATATTTAACAGAATGGAAAAATGCTTGTAACATTAAGGAAAGCATTAAATTAAGAAATGGTATACTCATTACTGATAATTAATGACAACTTACTCTACATGAATAAACTTTTATTGAATTTTAGATAATTAGAAAGAATAAAGAAATGCAAGATAAATGCTTTCTACATAGCATCTGATAGTATCATCTTTTTGCCACAGTATTTTCACTTTTCCTTATAAAAAGTATAGACATTCGTTTATTCAAATTTTTACAAAGTCAAGAACCATCAAATGGAAAAAATAAGTAATGCTAAAGTAAATCCATCTTTTTATCGATATTGAAATGGTTAGGTTCTGAGTGTGACCTTCTTGGAAAAAGAGCGTTTGCTGCAGCTGATGGTTTCCACTCATTCAAATAACCGGGAAAAGGTCAGGCGTCCACTGTCTGCGAAAATTATGCTGGCAGGAAAAGAGGGCAAAAAGCACGGTGGGAGAGAGAGTGAGAAAACACAGCCAGGAAAAAGAGACACTCTTTAAAAATCATGGAGTCAGTACCATAAATAATTTAGAAAACCAACCTTGGAAGAAATGTGTGGGTTGCTTAAAGTGTGATTAAGGCAAGACAGTCATCAACACTATGGTCAGATCTACGTCGCACAAAATAGAGTGGGGAGTTTGTAAATTAACCTGGCGAGCTGCAAAGGCAGCCAAAGCAGGAAAGTAACCACAAAGGCGTCTCTTTACCGTGGTGTAAACTGCATCTGGGTAACATTGTGACCTGAGCCGTCACAGATACAGGCCTGACCCTTCCAGAAGCACATCGGGAGACGTTCCTTTTGTCTCAAGTCTTCTCTCTTTTACAAACAGAATTATTTTGAAAAAAGCCAAAACAAAAACAAGTCCTGCCCTCCCTGTAACAATCTAGTAACCTCTACTTGTCAAACAAGGAGGAAGTTGTCCACCTCAGTGTAAAAGGCATCAGGTGCTGCCCTCATTAAGCGCGTCCTAGTGAGACAGCGAGGGAGACCTGGACGGCCTTGCTTTGAGAGGCTGCCCAGCAAGGCCACAGCCCTCAGCCTCACCTGCCTGCCACTGTGCTGCCCACATGACCTCACCCTCTCATGATGTCGCATTTCCCTGTGGGCTCTCTAGACACAATCACTGAATAAGGTGCTGAACACGCTGTATTTCCTAGCCCAATGCCACTCATGTATTTTTAAAAAAAAAAAAAAAACTTTTCTTTAAAAAAATACTTTTTCCAGGAAAAATGAACAGTAATTGCCATGGACCTGTATCAGATCCTAGAATAATGTAGACAGGCAAGAATCTGTCAATATAGCAATATTCCAAATATGAAATTCGTGGTTCAGGAAGAAACTGATAAATAAATAAATACTGAGGGGCTTCCCAAAGAAGTTTCCTTTGTTTCCCCCTATTTCTTACCTAATTTTGTTTGTGTAAAAAGTTTTGATTATATGATAGAACAGCCAGTCCTGTGGGGACCAACATTAACCATTTACGCCATTAAGCCCTCTTCTATAAGGAGGGAATGGGGAGAGGCAGAACATACCTCAGGGCTGCACGTTATTTCCTTAATGACAACTACGTTTTTAAATAATTTCAATATTTAAACTCCATCTGGCACTTTAGTCTTTTGAAAAATTAAGTTAGGCATCAATTAAAGAACAAGCCCATCTGGGCCGCAGTTTGGGTTTGAAGGTGCTTTCTGCTTTTGTATCTTTTTCCTTGGCTTGGCACATCTCTGAGCTCCAGCTTTTCGAACAGAATCCCAGGACACCCGTGGCAGGAAAACAAGTCTTCCTGGTGGAGGATTCCAGTCCATTTCACGTACCCCAGTGGCCAGGTAACAGCATTGCCTTCTTTGTGCTTTTTACTAATATAATGACAAGGAAAGTGTTTCTTTCCCACCGCTCACCCACCCCAACCTCCTCCGCATGTGAGGACCTTCCATTTACTCGTCTGTGAACACGATGCTCCCTCATGTTCTACACCAGCGACCCGGCCCGACTCTGGGCTGGCACCATGACGGGTACTGCACCGATTCGCTCCAGGGTTGCGTGGCTGACGGTGTAGGAGTGCGTGTGCGGAGGCCGAGACTTCCTGCTGACTGAGCCATTGCTCCTGGGCATGACCTGTGGTGATGACCCCCTGTTGGCTGTCACTACCAGAGTCTTATGAGAACCGGGGACCAGATGGTTCCCGTTAGCATAAATGGATGGTATACTGGCATTGCCCGACTGAAGGGAGAAAGACTGGTGCAAGTCACTGAAGTGGGTGAATGACTCTGTGTTTCTGTGAACTTTTGGATTGTTGCTCCAGTACCGACTGTTGTAAGTATTAGAAGAAGTCAACGTGTTGTTCTCTGAGGACGGTATCTCGGTGTGAAAGGCTTTGGCAGAAGAACATTTAGGTGGAAGGTCATCCTCTCTGAAAAGAACAAAAATAAAGTTGTCACAAGGATTTAGTCCAGGTTAATTCTGTCCTCTTATCCTCCTACCCTGGACGCTCTCTTTTCATGCCAAGGCCACTGTGTCTGAAACACAAATCCTCAGGAGGGACCACTCTATTGTGAAAGCAAACACAGCAACCCTGGATAGCCCTGGCCTTGGTACGCATTCCCTTTGAGAGATAGAGGTCAAGGAAATCTCTCCTCAACTTCTCAGTCTCCAACAATAGGAAAGGAAACATTAGATCTCTCAAACAATGTCTTTTCACACACACACATACACATTTACATACAGTTTGTTTATATATATGGTTTTGTCTTGCTTTTGTTTTCTTTTACTATAAATAGGAAAATAATCCACTGAGCTAGTTGCCATAAAATAGCCATGAAATCAAGCCATGGGCATAAAGAACTTTAGTTGGCCTGATTTTATTGCTCTTTGAGGTTTGAGGAATCACTGTGGTATGCTGATGGAAAGTTTTCCCCAGTCTGTTATGCTGAGAGGGAATCTATCCTTTCATGTGCCCACCCCTTAAGACTTACAAGGGGCTGAGAGAGATCATTAATTTAATTGAAGATGTTAACTAACTTACTTGACATTTATTGAGTACACTCTAACTAGATGTTTCATGTAAAAAACAAAACAAAACAAGCCCTACACCCAAGACGCCTACAGTCAAATGGGGGTAGCAATCAAAGCACGAACATTTTTGAGTCCGAAAGGCTGGGCGAGGAGCTAAAGATCATTTATGTGAGAAGGTGCAATGCCTGAACAAGCCTTGAATCATATCAAGGAATTTAGTAAAGAAATGGATCAAAGGAAAGAAATATGGATGGTCCAGGAGGAGAGCAGGGACTTTTGTTGAAGCCCTGAGGCACTGGGCAAGTGCAGAAGAGATGAAGGCAGAGTGAGCTGGGAAGCAGTGATGTGATACGGGCAGGCGAGGGTCAGCTCCTGAAGGGCTGTGTACATTTCACCAATGAGACCGGAATCTTTAAAGCACTTTCAACAAGGGCATACAATGATGAACTCTGTGAATGAGCCTGAACCTGGAATGTCTACAATATACCAAGAGTCCCTTTTCCTTAAAGATTATTTGGCATGGTTTTCTCAAGATTTCTGCACTGTCTTTCCAACTCCCACTTCCAGGGCCTGTCTGTGCAGCCGTAGCAGACATTGGTATGCTCTTACAGCGTTCCTTAGTGCTCTGTGTTCTCATCCACCATTTTTTTTTTTGAGACACAGTCTCACTATGTCACCCCCAGTAGAGTGCTGTGGCATCACAGTTCACAGCAACACTCAAACTCATGGGCTTAAGTGATTCTCTTGCCTCAGCCTCCCAAGTAGCTGGGACTGTAGGTGCCCGCCACAGCACCTGGCTATTTTTGTTGTTGTTGTTGTCATTGTTATTTAGCTGGCCTGGGCAGGGTTTGAACCCACCAACCTGTGTGTATGTGGCCGGCACCCTACCCATGGAGCCAGGGGCACTACCTCTCATCCACCATATTCATAAATGCCAATGTTAAACTAAACACTTGTTTTAAGCTAACTCTTCTGTTGTGGCAGCAACCTAAGCCCGCATACCCTGGAGATGGGAGAAGTGGGGAACTCTTCATTGACATCCTCCTGGTGGGGCACAGGCTAATCTTTACCCCCTTTTGTGAGCCACTGAATAAAGCTGAATAGTCCCATGAAGAAAAGTGATATATAAGAAAATAACACTTGGCCAATTTAATTTTCTTGGCCAGCAGAGTTATAACTGCAAACAAATCTTAATTCTAAAAAATAAACAGAAAACATATTGGCCATGAAGGACAAATTATCCAACACACACACCTTATTTCATTAGGAATTTCTTCTTCTTCCTCCTCTTTATTTTTGCTTCTCCAGTAAAAGAATGCCCCTAAAATCAGTGCAATGCAAAAAATGATAATAACTGCACCAGTGCCAATGGCTCCAGCTATTAGTCCAATGTTCCTGGGCTGGGCTGAAAAATATATTTAAAGAGAAGAGAAAGAGAGAAATAGCATATACCCATGCCACTGTATAAACATAGAAGTTTACTGAAGAATCTGCTTAAAATGTACAAAACTGCCTAAAATACTACATCTATATAGCGTATAAAGTTACACTCCCATTAACTTTCTCTATCCCCCATGGCCAGGGTAAGACATTTATTGAATGAATAAACATCAAATGACTGGCACACCTTTTCGAGACTACACCAAGAGCAGAACAGGGGACATGTGGCACCTAAGTCGCCTGATCTGCCCAAAATGAACCCTATAAACCAGTGGGATTCCTTATGACCTCATCCTAGCCAAACTGCTCCCTTTTGCAACTGGAATTGAGACCACCAAGAATGCTAAACTAAAGAGAAATTTTTTGCAGTTTATAACCTACTCAATTAAGCAGATATGAGAAATTAAGAAAAAAAAACACAAAAGAACTTCTTGCTACCCATAAGATCATTACAAATTTTTATAATGCCCATAGTGCTTATATAAAAAAACTGGTTTAGGCTGGGTGTGGTGGTCCATTCCACTAATCCTAGCATTTTGAGAGGGTGAGGCAGAATGATTAGTTGAGATCAGGAGTTTGAGACCAGCCTGAACAAGAGAAAAACTTCCTATTTCTCATAAAAATAGAAAGAAAAAAAAAAGCCAGGTGTGCAGAGATGTGCCACTCAGCCTCAGCTGCTTGGGAAGCTGGGGCAGAAGAATCGCTTGAACCCAGAAGTCTGAGGTTGCAGTAAGCTAGGATGGCAGCACTGCACTGTAACCAGGGTGACAGAGCAAGATTCTGTCTCAAAAAGAAAAGAAAAAAAAGAACCAGCTTGATTCGAATGATCCTAAAGAGAAAGATACTTTGTCACAAAGATTATCATTTTGCCGAGGCTGAAAAGTATACTAAAACATTATAAAACACTTCAATAACGATTCAAACCAAAAGAACTTCTATTTAATCATCAGGACACTTCAAATCAATTAAGCAGGACCGTCCTTCATTTCCTACTTTAACAAAAGTCTTAAGAGTCTCAGACCCAGAGTTGACATCAGAATTTCTTATACTTACGTGAAATAACCTGGAGATCCAGAAGACAGGTGCTGGTTCCAATGGCATTAGAAGCCACGCACTGATACAAACCTGAGGACAGCGCACTGATGTTCCGGATAGTCACTGTTCCCTGGACCTGGTCTGTCACAAAAATAACAGTCACATGAGAACTTGGCAGAAAGAATAAGAAAGCCAAAGACATCAGCAGAAGACTATAAAAACAGATTAATACCGGAGAGCTATTAATAAATTTATTTGGGGGAGGAAGAGAAATTTGGGGTCCTTGAATGTTAAAGACTAAAATCACGACATCACTTTAAAAACCCGAAACTCCCTAAGTAAGAACAATCTTGAAAGTTGATCAGCACATTAGCACGTAAAGTCCTGAATGTCGGTAGCTTTCTCTGAGGACAGTGTGGCTATTGCTCATCCTAGAATTTATGGTCAGTAGCACTGAATTTTAATTTTGAAAAAATGCACAAAAATCAAGTTAAACTTATAGTAATGTTTATTTTATACTCGATGAAGAAATGATCAAGCCTGTACTCTATGGTATAAATTACTACCGTACTCCCTCCCAACAACAATTACACTATTTGTGTTAGCTCAGATCCTCCAAGAAGCAGACACCAAGACAAGCACGAGGCTTACTGGAGGAGGCAGGGAGAGCCTCCGGCCACAGTACAGGCCTGATCTCTGTGAAGCAGAGAAGGAAGGAGGAAGGTTGGATAATCAGAGCCTCAGCACACTGTTAAGGAGTTTCCACCAGGCACATGGGGTGTTCCTGAACCAAAGTCTCCAGTGCAAGAAGCCTTCCCAGGCCCTGCAGACACAGGCCTGCAGTAGCAGCCTCACTGCACCTCCTCACTGGCTGGGAGCAGCTCGGGGAAGCTCAGCCTGGGTGTGAAGCAGTGGGGGGTCCCAAGGCGAAGCAGCTGGGGCTGTCAGTCTATAATGTTCCCACATCAGGAGGTCTGAACGGTACATTTTCAGGGCTTTAGTGTAACCCTACGAGATATGCTTATTATTAATCTCATCAAAGAGTCAAGGAGACTGAAGCTTTAGATGGGTAATAAGATTATACGGCTGGTTGTTAGGAACTGATGATGTTGGATGGAGGGATGTCATACCTTTGAGGTCTAGGCTTCACCCCACCATCAGGCAGGAAAGATAATATATCCAGTTACCTCAACCACTGCAAATAGCTGCAAACTTAGAAAAGCTTTCTAATGACACAAGGAAAATAAATGATTCCGGCAGAGTCCAAATATGCCGGGGCAGCACTTGGAGGTACCCTCACCCTGGGCTGCCTTGTTTTCATATGAACTAAGATGAGCTATCTTGTTTCTGCTGGCAACTTTCCTCTCATAGAACCAAAGGCAGGAACAGAGAGGAGTCAGCAAACACAGACCTGGACACAGGGCATTTATTAATTCAGTCACTTGATAAATAAATATTTACTGAGCACCTCCCTTTGTACTGGTTTTTCTGAGGATGGTGATATAATGATGAACAAGACAGACACAGTCTCTCACCTTAATGAGACAAGTAGGCAAGCTATGGGGAAAGTGCCAGCCAGGGCTAGAGAATACGGGGTGCTGGGAGGACAGAGGAAGGACATTTAATGAGGGACTCAGAAGTAAGTAGAACAAATGCCCCCTTGGAAACCACCCAAAACACAGAAAAGTGCTCAATAAATTAAGGTGATCAATTAATGAATAAAAGGTCTACCTCTCTCTGGTGTCCACTGCATACCCCATCCACTATAGTAAGCCTTAACTATGCCTCTTTTAATCTTTATAACAAGATTATGTTTTATATTCACTACTTTTCAAAGGTGAGAAAGTTCAGAGGAGCTATGCAATTTAAAAGGGGGGTAGGGCAAGAAAGCTACATCTTTTGTCCAAGATCACATAGTACATAAGTAGCGACAGTCTTTAAAATCACGTCTGTCCAAGTCAAAGCTCATGATCACCATAGGTAGACCTGGCTTTCCGGTAAGGCATTTAAAACCATATTGTTCTATAGGATGTAACTACAGAATATCTCCTAACTCTGCGATATACCAATGCTGTCGGTATTAATATTGTAACTAAGCCATCTGCCTACCTCCCTCTTCATTCAAACCATGTCGTAAAGTCATCATTCAAGAAAACCAATCTCTGTACACACTGTTGGTGGTGTCTTTTTTTGTGTTTTTTTTTTTTTTAATCTCGAGTTCCTAAAATTCTAAAAATCTGATGAGCTCAGACCAACCCAGTAATTTTTTTACACTTGTGTAGAGACAATCAGGGAAACTTTAACCAGCTCCCCCAAGCAGCATTCTAGCACGCAGAAAGAGGTAAGCCCTAAAGATTTTGCTTTAAAGTTACTTTTAAAAGGTGAAGTCACTGTTCTTCCTGCGGACTCTTCAGACGCTGATACCACAAGCATGTTCTTTCAGAAAGTATTATTATACGAGGCTGCCATACCATGGCCGAGTTAACCCAGAATGTAATCAGGGAGGAGAAGGACACATTGATAAGGGAGGATTAGCTAGAAACAAAACAGGGTTGTTTGTGCAGTCAGGGCAAAGCAGAGACGGGAGCGACTCCCCGGCACACAGCAGACTGCACGCAGCCACAGAGCGCGTGGCTCGTCCTGAAACTAGCAGGGATAATTCCTCATGCTGTCATTTCACTCGGCTGCTCTAGCACAGAAATAAACTGCTGAAATGAAGTCAGAGAATTTTTTTTTTCACTTTTTTTTATTTTAAAGAATAGGAAACGTTCAAGTATGTGTAATGCATAGTTGGAAAGCTCAAAGGACATCACGCCAGCCCCATCCTACAAGGCTCACAGCAACACTGAATCCCACAGAAGCTGCGCACCTGGTCCGTAACACTCTCGGGAATCAGAGAGAAACCAGTGTAAGTGTCCTTTCCAGTTCCATCCTTTCTCCTCCAGTTCAGAGCGCCGCCTCTGCTGGCTGCCTATTAGATGGTGTATCTGCTTAGACCGTGTGCTCTGGAGACAGAGCCTGCATACAAATCCACACCACCTCTACCCATTCTGTGGCTCTGTGTGTGCAACCTGTTCTTGACCTATGTTTCAGTCTTCTCATCTGTAATGTGGAGCTACCAAGTGCCTACACATCATAGGTTACACACATGAGAACTAAGTAAGACAAACACATAAAAAGCTTAGGATGGTGGCTCGGCACCCATGCTCAGTGGCTAGCACCAGCCACATACACCAGGGCTGGTGGGTGTGAACCCAGCTGGGGCCGGCAAAAGACAACAAGGACAATTACAACAAAAAAATAGCCGGGCGTTGTGGCAGACACCTATAGTCCCAGCTACTTGGGAGGCTGAGGCAAGAGACTCACTTTTAAGCCCAAGAGTTTGAGGTGGCTGTGAGCTGTGATGCCACAGCACACTACCAGGAGCAACATGGTGAGACTGTCTCCAAATAAATAAATATATAAAATAAAGTTTAAAAAAAAAAAAAAGCTTAATATAGTGCCTGGTAATGTTTTCCATGTGGAAATTCTACCCAGGTATTTCTTATAAAATTTATAAATTATTCTGAGTCATGAGAAAAATCAGTCAAAAAATTTGAAAAATGTCTAATGTCTCCAAATTCCCAATAGATATTAATCTTTAGTATTTGAGGAAGAAAGAATTCCTCAACTGTAAATTATTCTGTGTTTTATGTTCTTTTAATAATTAATGACTATAATAATATGCAGTAAACATTTCTTACATAAAGATCTCAGACGTGTTCTGTAAAAAAGATACAATAATGGAAGTATATTACATAAAAATCATGTATTTATAATATGTAAAAAAAAAAAAATGACCGCAGCCTGAAACAGGCATTTGATAATATTGTAAATAAAGGAAACATTTAAATACAAACATTTAAATGTCAAATAAAAATCTATTTAAAAAAACTTAAAGCTAACATCACAAATACTTAATATTTAAACTCTATCACTCTTAAAGGAACACTACTAGATAGCACTGGCCATAAAAAATTTTATTTCCTTTTTGTGTTGATGTTGGAGGATTAAAGTGGAGATGGAGAAGGGATGGGGTGGGGAATCTGTCCCCACTAAAAGAATGTCCAATAGCACCTTCCAGATGGGCAGTGGGATACATGCTGGTTCCTACTCGCTCATTTTATTTAGTCAATAATAAAAACATGTTGTCTGCTTGCCCTGATTTTGATTTTGCCAGTGAAATAGACATTGCTTTTGCCAATTCAGATTTTAAATTCATTTCCGATTTCGTGTCAGTGTATTCCACAGCAACCTCCCTCTCTTCTTCTCTTTGCATTTCTGTCATTAAAGTAATCACACAGATCCCAAAGCTTACAGCAAATATCAAACATTGGAAAACACCAATGCACATTACTGGGCAACATCTGAATATGTCATATTCAAATACCCTGATATTAACAACATTACGTAGAATCGCACATCGACAGTGCCAAGTTAAGGACTTGTTTTGCTTCCAAAACTTATCTTTTGGAATACTATTCTTGGCACTTACGTAAAATATACCATGTGTATAAAAATATTAACATTTATTTGCAAGACGATTTACAGGAATGATTTGCCACTGGCAACACATAAGGCCATCAACACACAGTTATAACTACAGCAACAGCTATAAGCAAGACTAATTGATTAGATCTTGACTGCTTTCTCCTGATTACTTCTGCATTTTCAGAAATGTTGACTCTCCTTTTGCTTTTAACTTGACATCACTGGATTCTTACGAATCAGTATGTCTCTATGTTGACTATGAAGCTTTCTTTTATTTTTTTTTTTGAAGCTTTAATTCTCCTTTACTCCAGAAACGTTACCATCGTATCATCATTTTAATCCTTATCTAGAGGTCCACAGAGATCACTAACCCACTTGCTACCTTTCTCACACAAACCTCTACAAATTCCTTCTGAGTTAAGATGGTTACCACTTATTCAGTGGCTCACAAAAGAATCTGGATGAAATCTGACTCTTCTGAGTCTCAATATCAATCAAGTCTCATATCTTATTGATTTTTGTCCTCAGTCGCTCTTGAATCCTACCCTCCTCCTATCCCTTCTCCATCCCTATTTCCAGGGACTAAGTTCAGACCCTCTTCATTTCCTGAA